ATGGTCTTACAGGTGAGGACAGACCCCCTGATTCCATTCCTGTTCACGTTTTGCGGGTACTTCCTTATTCAAATGGCTTTCTACCCAGAACACCTTTTAACAGACAGTTCCACAGGTGCAAAAGAAGTGGTAGATGTGGCCCTGTTGATTTTAACCCTACTGTCACACAGTACTACCCAAAACTCCATTCCATAGAAGGTTGGATCTGTTGGAGGAGTGGTGTCCCAGAAGGCCACACCCCCTTTCCTTCTTGCATGACCAGTGATTCACATATTGCTTATTTCGCAAACATGTCTGCCCTGACCTGAAGTCCAGATAACATATCAAATCTGAATAACACTCTTGAAGTCATTTGGTCTGAGCCACACCAATTGCAATTCCTGGCTTTGTCTTTGATGGTCCGCTCACTTACCTGCCAAAGTTGCCAGACAAGTTTAGGTGGCCCAGTAGTCGAACATTGATCACAACAGGACAAATTAGAAACACACCAGCAGTTGATTACCCACACAGCCTGGTCAGCTTCTGGATTTTTGTCCGTCAGCTGGCGGGTTCGGTCTGATGATTGCATCTCGCTATTTACAAATTTCTATGTGGATTTGATCCTAAAAGGTAAAAAGATATACAGTTGTGTAGAGTGGCAAATTACTGTACTGTCATCATTGCAAGTAAAGCAAAGCATGCGTTAATTGTCCCCAATATTGCTATTTTGCTGTGCTGTCTGTTAACTTTCTTCATGTTTTTATGTCTTCAGGCGTTCAATTTGTGGAAGGTGTCTGTGATCAACGATGAGCACACAGACAGATAAGACGTTCTGTTTATTGTCATCGATTGGCTGGTGTGAGTAGCTTCATCCTTTATCCTGCCTCAACCAATCAGCCCACCCACCAGCCAGTCATCTTTTGAACCAGTCAGCCTACCCTCCAGCCAGTCATCTTGTGAACCAATTCAGCTCACCCACCAGCCAGTCATCTTGTGAACCAGTCAGCCTACCCACCAGCCAGTCATCTTGTGAGCCAATCAGCCTACCCACCAGCCAGTCATCTTGTGAGCCAATCAGCCTACCCACCAGCCAGTCATCTTGTGAACCAGTCAGCCTACCCTCCAGCCAGTCATCTTGTGAACCAGTCAGCCTA